TAATTGGGCTGACCTGCCCCCTCCCCCCTTCAAATGACAGATAAATTCACAGTTCTGAATGGCCGTACTTGGTCAAGTCTGATCGCATCATCTGCTCGCAGTTCCGAACTGACTACGTTCAAATGAATGTTTAGAACGTCAATAATAGACAGATCAGGGGGTGGGTACCGCGACGGCTTTAGCCGACCGCCCCCCCCCCTAAAGTCAAGCAAACGCGGCTTTGGTCGGCCGGATCACCGTTTACCTCTTTAGGGAACAAACGGCTGCAATCTAACTCCCAGCAGTAAACACGAACTTAGATGCGTCAGGCATGGATGCTGGATTGCAGAATTCATAGACAATAACAGAAACCACAAGCGTGTACGTTAGGCAATAAGAATTAAATAGCGCGAAAGCTTATTAGAGCTGTGAGATAGGCAATCGATACTGCTATCCCTCACTAAGAACACGGGCCCAGTCCAATATCCTGGATATGAGGAAATCGACTATGTACCTGGTCTAGTGAAGAACAACAATCGGAACAAGATGTCTGCTATTGACTCGACATACAAACCAGTTAAGGTGTAGCGGCAAACAGTTATACACCAACTTAAACAAAAGGGGAAAAATACAGATGACGGAAAGGCGTAGCAACTGGAATTAGTCAAGGAAATTGAGTACAACTGACAGTACGACAAAGTTGTAAAAAAATGCAAGGTTGGCAAAAAGCTACCGCAAGCTGTGTTAATGAACTCGTGTGCCTACCTCGGAAACTGTGCACCCACAGCTTAATGGCGGATCTCTACATGCTTGCAAGCACACTACCTGGCCAACTCTCAACAACTATACCCTAATTGGTGAGCTTCAGCTAGTTTGGAATTGACTTGGGCCAGATAGCATGGATGTCTAAGACATTACACACACATCGTGGGTCGGGCACGCAGATAAATGCGTGAAGTGGGCTGGTATTGGCCTAAAAAGAACTCAGTCCTGGCAGAAGATCCCCTTACAGGAGCCTGCTGCGGTGGTTTGTTAATAGTAGGAATACCCCACTCAATTCTAAACGCGAAAAACAGCAAGCAGCACGTAGTGGTTTCCCTGAACCAAGCTGTAGTCGACAGCCAGTTGCGTGCGGGTTTCTTCAACCCCAAACAAAAACTTACACCATGAACCCGGCCCGATGCTCCCTAAGATGTTCCCTCCAGACAGTGACTGCCAAGTCTTCTGAGAACAGGTCCAGAAGACCCAGTGTAATAGTGTCCGCAAGCTGAAAAACGACTTATTTGCATGCCGGTTAACTATGAATCCTAGCTGATAGAAACGAACAGGC